TGACCGTCTGCCATTCCTTTTGGCTCACATGGCAAGGTGGGAGGCCTTTGACCCTTATTATGTTTTAACCAATCAAGTATTCAGTGACACCAGCCCAAACAAAAAAAGTTTTCTTTCTGATTTTCCCTGTTTTTCTTACTCCAGATTTATTCATTATTCTAGTTCTGGTGATTTACTAAACAAAATAAGTAGTTTTTACACCAGTAACTTGTAGGCATACTTTTTAAAAGCTCTTTTATTTACATTTTTAAAATCTTTTTCTCCCTACTTCACTCCAATCCCTTCCAATGCCCCAATCCAGGTAGGAGAAAAGCTTAGTGGAAGAGGGGACACAGTTCTCTTAGCTACTTTCTGCTGCTGCTGGTTAGAGTCGTTGGGTTCCTTGGAGCCAGTCCAAACCTTGTTTCAGGAGATGTCTGTCTCACAACAGCAACCAGAAGCAACCTTGTTCTTTCTCCTGGGCTCTGGCATTTACTCTCTTTCCAAGAGTCCTCAGATTTAAACTGTCTGCAGCTAGCAAAGAGCTCCGCTTAGAGACTGCAAGAGGCAGATGGTCTGCTACTGTGGACCATCTGAATAAACCCCACATCCCATACCTAGGACCCAAACAAGCACATGTTTATACCCACAGCAGGAACTCAACTTAAAAAAAAAAAAAATCCGTTTAATAGACTGTACTAGAGTAAAAATACAGGTAGGACCCTGGTTTCGACCTTAGACTTACAAGAAAGCAAGCAAACAAAAAAACTTTGCTATCTGACACATCCCTGATGCTTGCCAAAATGTTATTAATTTCCACAAATACTTGGGGGTTTCACAGCTGCCTTCTGTGCAACCGCATTTCTACCTTCACTGCTCATGTAATTCATTTGTGATGAATTTTAATCATCTCCATTTTCCTCTGTCATCAGTATATGACCTGAAGCAGGACATAGAATATTTTAAGAAGATGAGTTTGCTTTAAGGAAATGATTTGAGATGATGAGGCAGCAACTAGTAAGGAGCGTTGGAGGCTGGTGTACAGCAGGGTACCCCGCCCCACCTACTGCCCTGACTGATGGTCAAGGTTTGCAACGCATGTGCTAATGGCAGCTTATCTTGCCCATGGAATAGAGAGTAAAAGTAGTGTTCTTTAAGAGGAGTTTCATATCCTAACAACCTGCTTTGTTTGTTCAACTACTTAGTACAGTGCCATCAAAGACGAATGCTCAGCAAGCTGTCTACCAGCTCACCTACCTGTCCAGGCCCAACAAGCCATTTGAAATAAAGCAAATTTGCCATTAAGTTTGCTTTGCCAAGATATCCTTTAGGTTCAACTGAAAATATCGTTTAGATTCAACTGAAAACAATACCGTTGGGTTTGATCTGAAAGCATAATTAGTAACCAAAGTTCTGACTGGTTTATTTTAATATATTCTTTTATTCCTAGAAGTCCTATGTGAGAAGTTGGTTGTTAACGCTTGCCATTATAATAAAGGGCTATGAAACCACATTGGATGGTGTTTATATTCTACTGACAAATTTAGCTGTCTGTGTAGGGTGTGTGAGCTCCACCCGGACATTGACCTGCTTCCTATTTTTGATGAGGTCCAAGCACAACAAAACCTGCAGCAGAGTCTTCCTGTGTGGCCTGTAGCTATCAGATCTGCAGGTTATTGATGCATTTCCAGCTAGGGACCATAAGCAAACAAGTTTTAGCAGAGAGCCACACCCATCCTGCGAGGGATTGGATTCACTGTGGAACAGATTTCGGAAATCGGTTTTTGACAGTTTCAAGTAGTGTTTATAAAACCTTATAGGGCGAGGTTTTCCTTTAGCTAAAACTATTTCCTATTTGATGTCCAACTGGTCGTTTTTAAAAGTCTTTGAAAAGGATTTCTCTCAAGTAGAGAATTATGTTGCTTCCAGTAGTTTTGGTTACTCCTTTAAAGAATAAAGAAGCACAAACATTTTTGTATTCCAGTGAATAATTCAAAAGGACTTCATAAAAACATATACTAGCCAAGAATGCTTGTGGCCTGTGACAGGTCAGGGTCTCAATATTAGAATTTTAGGGTGCTTTTTTCATACACAGATACGTGTGGCACAACTGTGTTCTGTAATGGGCTTTAAGGAGGAAGCAGATTGACATTAAAGATTTTGCAGGTTAGTTCAGTGTAACATTACCTTCATCTAGTGCATCTGTTATTTTAAAAAAGCCAGGAAAATGTAGGCCACCCACAGAGCAGGCCGCTGAGGCCTGCAGTTGGTATTTGCTGGGATTTACCTCAGTGCAAGCAGAGTGACTCTACTTCCCACAGGACTGTGTTCACTTGACTGGGATAGCATGTGCTGTGCCTGTTGCCATAGTACCACGTGTGATGCCTGTGAACAATAGACTGTTTCTACTTGGTTTGCAAGACGTAAATGATAGGTCTCTGCCGACAAAATGAGCCAATTCAAGCTAAACTGAAGTACATAAAGGCAGGTTTATTGGGGGCAGCTCTCTGATGGGTTCATGATCTCACAAGTGGAGGTCAGGGAAGTTGCCCTGCAGACTGGCAGACAGAGACAAAATGTCTGGATATATAGTGAAGAGCCTTTGGTGGAGAGGAGGCTTAGCCCCTGGGCTGGAAATTTCAGGTAGGGACTTGAGGGATGCTGGTAGAACCTGGAGGCCAGGTCCACTTTGGTATGTTAAATAGATGCCTTTGCTGCTTGTCCTGGGTCTGAAAACCAATAACTAATACCAGTTCCATGTCATGGAAGCCTTAGTATAAACTGGAATAAACGGCTGAGTTGGACTTGATAGGTCACAAACAGATTTTATCATATTAGAAAAGTATGTTTATTAATATGTAAATAGGTATGTATGTGTTTATTGTATCGCTAATAAGGCAGTTTCATTACCGTGTTGTGTGTGTTTGTGCATGCATACATGCGTGCAGTTCAGAGTAGTTAAGGCTCTCTCCTACCATGTGGGCTACACACTCAGGTCCGCAGGCTTGGCAGTAAGCCCCCTTTCGTTTACCCATCCACCTGCTCCCCTCGCTGCCTCGCAGATAGGAGTTTATGCATTTATTCTACTCTGTCACGTCGTTTTTAAAACTTTTTCAACTTCCTTGGAACTGGCAAATATATTTCCTTTCCTTCTTCCTTCTTTCCTTCTTTCTTTCTCTTCCCTCCTTCCTTCCTTCCTCTCCCTCCCTCCCTTCTTTCCTTCCTGTTTGTATGCTTTGTTGTTGTTACCATGTTTTTGTCATGTAGGATTTTGTGATGTCTCTCAGCCTGGCCTTGAACCACTCATGTTAGCCTAAAACTGATAAACATGGTCCTGTTTCTTCAGTGTTTGTGAGCCCACACTGCCACACCTGCCTTTGTGGTTAATTTAAACATTGTCGTAATGAGTTTTGTAACATTTAGCAATGTAAATTCAGTGTGAGTCCTTGAATAGCTGTTTTTTTTTAGCAGTTAAGATAAATTGCAGACTTCAAGACACATACTTCAGTGAGCCGCAGGTGCAGTGGCTCAGCCTGACGGCCTGAGTTCAGTCCTGTGAGCCCACAGAAGGTGGAGAGAACCACCTCCAGAACCAGCTGCTTTCTGAGTGCTGTTCTGGGTGTGTATACAGAAACACACACACACACACAAACACACACATCCATATATATGGATGATCTACACGCAGTGTGTATATGCATATCCAGCTACACTCAGTGTGTATACACACACACACATATACAGATCCACACATCATACACACATTCATATATTCAGGTCTATCCACACTCAGTATGTATACATAGACACACACACACACACACACACACACACACACACACAGATCCACACATATATGCATTCATATTTACAGATCCATCCACAGTCATACACAAGCATATATACAGATCATCTATACTTGCCTTATGTATACATACCTGGCTGCACTCACACATATACAAACCCACTTACAAAACAGAACCTGTCATAAACCCATCTGCAGCTCAAATCTCTGACTTCAGGATGAATAAAATCAGTTTCTGGAGAATAATAGTATGTTACTGTACATTAGAAAAATAAAATGTAAAGAGGTCTTTTGAATCAAATCCTCTTTAATTCACATGCATTTTACAAAGACTTCACATTATTTTTCCTTAGGTACATGAACAAAGGAGTACAGAAATTAGAAAAACACATTCTATAACTGCAAAAACTAAGAAAATGATTTAGTGTTGAGGAAATATACATTTACTAGACAACAAATACCCAGTTGCTATTAAGAAACTTACATATTTTGAAATAAAAATCTGACCACTGAAAACATGCCGCACATGCATGTGTGTTCATTATGTGCATGAACAGTATGCGCACACCTGCCTATGTATATTCTATGGCTTCAATCTTAGCCCTGTTTTGGTAGCTTTGGTTAAATATTTTTAACCAAACTTTCCCCTCAGATAGATGCTCAGCATTCTTACCAATTTTTGTTGTATTCCAAACAATTTTGAATTTGTCGATTGATTGTGATTCAAAGAATCTGAAGTTCAGGAACTTTTTCTGGTGTTTGTTTGTTTGTTTGTTTGTTTTGGAGATGAGGTATCACCATGTGGTAAGCCTGGCTGCCATGGAACTTGCTTTGCAGACCAGACTGGCCTCCAACTCAAATATCCCTCTGCCTCTGCTAGGAATAAAAGTGTGGCCACTGCGTGGGCTAGCCTTGTCCCTCTTAGCGAGTGAGTGGGTGATTTGTTTGCCTTCTTCTGTTCTTACCTCTGTTCTGACTCCCTCCAAGTAGTCTGCCCTGCTTCAGATGTGCACTGTACTTCTGCTCTCTTGGTTGTGTCACTGTCCGTGCTTGCTCAGTTGTGAGCCCATGTCCAAGACAGCTTCCTGCAGTGCCTGTGCTGGTCTTGGGAAGGGTCAGCCGGGGTACTGTATCACCATCATAATTCTGGCAGCTCAGTTAGCCGTGTGTTTGTTTAATTTCACTCAGCTAACCAATTTTTATTTTACCGTTCTAGGTTTACCGACAAGACTGTGAAACTTTCGGGATGGTGGTGAAAATGCTGATTGAAAAAGATCCTTCATTAGAAAAATCTATACAGTTTGCATTGAGGCAGAATTTACATGAAATAGGTGAGCGGTGTGTTGAAGAACTCAAGCATTTCATTACGGAGTATGATAATTCTACTCAAGATTTTGGAGACCCTTTTTAAAAGAATTAGCACCCAGGTCAAAACAATGTTTTTAAAGCTTCTAGGTCTTTTTTTCCCTTGGATTGTGTAAAACCTTACTATTTTGTGATGAAGAGAAATACTTTATGATAGCTGACCACATTTCTAGTATTAAATAAACATCTACAATGGCTGATAAGGCATCTTAATCAGAATGTTTTTCCTATGTGTAGACTCTTCTACCATCTTCAGCTCCTCCCTGCAAAAGAAAATTATGTTTTTTTTTTAATATTCGAAAGAATAGTTCTGGATCGCAGCTTTCAGTACGTACATTCAGTAGTCTTCCATAGCATGTGATCATTTGGTCTCAGGAGTGTAATTTGCAGTTAGAGATCGTTCCAGGTTGCATATCATAGTAGCACTGTTAGCATTTTGAGTTGTGACTTCTACTTGCTGCTTACTTTTCTTCAGCCTTGTAACTTTTGGTGATGTCAAAATATGTTGTCTTAATGAATTAGAACTTTACTTTTTGATATTTGCCTTGAGAACCATTCTTATCTAGTAGAGGGAAAAAAGCACTTGAAAATCTGTAAAAGGCACATTAGAACAAAATCTTCTTCCCAAGTCAGTAGGCTTAGTGCATCTCTTCTATGAAGTGTTCCTGAGGCTCCTGACTGCTCTCTGAACACTAACAGGAGGGAGCTTCAGGTGAGATTCCTCAGAAACCCTTTTGATGGATATAATACAAGATTAGAATATACAAGAGCTCTGGAATTTTTTTTAGGCCCACAGTTCCCCTCACCTCCTGAGTGAGCCAGTGAATAAGAAAAGAGACAATTAGGACTGCCCACTCATTTTCTGTCCCCTCCAGCACTGCATTGAGCCAAAATAAATAATCTATAGCATGAGGTACCTTAAAAATTGGGGTTAACCTCTGTATAGATCAGGCTGCCCCTAAACTCAAAGGAAACCCTCCTGCCCCTGCCTCTCACATGCTGAGATAAAACGCATGTGCCACCATGCTCAGTATCCTTTTCATTTTCATTCAGTTCTTTTTACTTTTTTTTTTTATTTGAGATAGGGTCTTAATGTTCATTCTAGGCTGGCTTCAAACCTTCCTGCCCTGGCTTTTAGCTCTTGCTTTTCCTGCCTCAGCTTTCCTGAGTGCTAGAATTATAAGTGTGAGCCACCATGCTTGCCATTACTTTCAGTTGCCTCTTTGATATTGTCTACAGAGAAAGCCCTAAACTGCATACAGATTATAGTGAAAGTACAAATAGCTGTATGAATAATTTTAATGAGCCCTGCAATGGATGTGTTAAGATATGTATTATGCCATTTTGGAAATAAAAAAGACTAATTAAGGACCTTTTCTTTATATATGTTTCCTAAGTGAGAGCACTTGGTGTTATTATTTTGGCACTGAGATACTATACATATCTTTTGTAAGGATATTCCTCCTTAATGCAAGCAGTGGTCAAACTACTGATCACTTCAGAAAGACTGAAGATACTGATCCTATTTTTTCTTTTTTCTTCCCACTAATTTTTAGCTCTTTAAATCAAGCTGTTAATATATATATTAACTATTAATTTTTTTTCCGTGTAGTCTTGGCTGTCCTGGCCTTGCTTTGTAGACCAGGCTGGCCTTGAACCCACAGCGATCCACCTGCCTCTGCCTCCCCAAGTCTGGATTACAGGCATGTGGCACCATGCCAGGCTGCAAATGAATTTTTCATTTCGTAGAAATTCATTAAAAAGAGAATCTTACTAATAGGTTTATTTAAATGTAGGACCAACCAATAGTCTCCTTCCCTTAAGTTACATTCAGCATTTGAAGCTATTTTTAGTTTGCCATCAGCATTATTCTGCTAGGCTTGTCAGTGTTAAATGTCTTGTTTTTGTTTTTTTAAATGCCTTTTCATGTCTAATTTTAGTATGTGTACTAGAATGTGTATTTTGTTAAATGTTTTTGATTAGGAAGATTGTAAATTAGCCATTGTTTTTGAGTATACCTAATCTGTGTGATAACATTTTCATTGTCTTACCATAAGGCCTTGATGATCAACATGGGGGAAGCAGATACTGTAACATTTTTTTGTGAATTTTAAATATGCAAAATAAAACAACTGATACTAAGTAATTAACTTGTCTTCTCTCATTTCCCCAGCTCATATTATATGATCAAAATGTAAACTTTTTTAGTCTCTGCCTCCATATTGACTCTTGACTGTTCAGATCACCACTCAACAGCTGGCTAGAAGTTGAGACACTTAATTTCAAATGTTTCTGGAGTTGATGTCACAGAAGCCAGTCATAAATAGTGCCTGGCACATGATCCTCAGTAATTACGTACTTGTGAGTGTGATTTTTCAAAGAACTGTGGGATTGAGAGTCCTCTCTCAGAGCTGTCACTTCTGCAGAGCAAGACCCTTACTCCTGGGCTGGAAAGATGGCTCAGTGCTTAAGGGTGCTGACTGCTCTTAACCTTGCTCTCTGTGGTGTCAGCCTAAAGTGAAACTTGACCCTTGGGACTCGGAGAAATACGTTTATTCAGTCTGAGAATTATCGGAGGTTCAGAAGTACGGTAGTGAAAGGTCATAGTCAGTTTTCAGTGCTGTGACAAGTGCTGGAGAGGAAGCAGGGGGGGGGATTTATTCTGTATTGTGATTTCAGGCATGTTGGCCCTCCATCACTGGGCTTCTTTGTTTCTGGGTCTGTGGTAAAGAATGACTTCACAGTGGTGACCTTGGAGCAGAGCGGAGGCATAGGAGGGAGGTTGGGAGGGAGGGGTGGTTACCACATTCAGGGAGTGTCTTCACTCTTAATGTCCCTTCTCTAGCAATAGCTTCGTAGGTATCCTTTTCTAAAAATCTTCTAGGTGCTTCTCAGTCCACTAAAGTTGATGGTAATAGCCATGACTTTATATATGATGAAGAGGGTCAAAGAAACAAGACCGAAGGCCTCAAGCTGAAGATGCAGTGTAGAGCTCTGCCCGTGTGTGCGCACCACAGGGCCAAGACTGAAGGAAAAATGTCTTTCACAGTGACGGGGAGCCATTGAAAATCTGCCCAGCCAGGACTAGCAGGACAGTGGATCTCTTCAGCACTTCTGGAACCTCTGGATAAAGTGATGTTCCCCACCAAGAACAGAAAAGGAGTCTTTCAAGAAAATCCACCCTTTTTACCCTTTCCCCCACTCTGCTTGTCTAATGATTGGGTCTAAATTATTTAAAAAGCTTGTCAGCTCAGAGATTTCTGCTGTAGCAGATTTTCTTCTCTTCACATAAATTAGCTTGTATTAATTATACATAGTAAGTTCCATTATATTTTCATATATGTTAATCAGATTCATCTACCATTACTCCCTTTTGTCCTGCTTCTACTGATCCTCTTTCAAGTAGTCACATTCTTTCCTGTGTGTGTTTTGTTTGTTTTTGGTTTTTGTTGTTTTTCTTAAGTGGTAGTGGCCCAGTGAGTATCACTGGGATTTTGTTAAAGAAGCATAGATGAGAATTTATACATAGGATCCGATCATCAACACCTTACTAATGGCAAAATCAGTAAAGAAGAACCATTAAAGTAACTATTAATCTTCAGAGACCCTCCTGAGCCCCTCCCCATTTCATGACAAAATGTTGGTGTGCCTAGTCTTCTATGGGTATGTGCAGTAGTCAGAGCTGCTAAGAATTCAGGAATATAACGGGATGGCATGTCTAGAAGACAGTATCACAACACTTTACCCCATTCCTCTGGCTCTTACATTCTTCCTGTTCTCTATTCTATGATATTCTCTGAACTTTGGGCAGGGTGATCTCGTGACTTTGAGTATCTTCAGTTACTGCTGCCCACTGCAAAAAGCTTTGCTGATCAAATCTGGCACTGGTGTTAATCTGTGGGCATTTATATATTATTTAGAAGGTGATTCAATTTGAACATCTCATGCTCTCGTAGCAAAATAGCTACTGTAGTTTCTCACTAATGTAGTGGGATTGGTTTCTTTAAAAACTCAGTTATGTTATGTAAATATATGGGCTATAGGGTTGCCTTTGTTTATCCACAGCTGATAATTGCCTTATATGGCCATCGTCTTTGCCAGATGCAGTTAATGGAATTCTGAGGACTGGAAGAGGGTATAAATACCAGAGCTGAGACAGAGAGAGAGCGAGCTCTTCAAGGAAAGCCCTGAGAAAGAAGGCTGTCCTCACTGATGCTGGTTTTTCCTTCTCTGGTTACTGGTTAGCTGGACTGCTGGATATCCTGACTACAAAGATTGGAGTTGCCCAAGAAACTAAGTCTAAAGAGGTCTATACACACTTTGCCTTCTAACCTTTTTTCTGTCCTCCCTAGTGTTTGGGGTTTGGTGCTACAAGGGATAAGAGATGTAGAGGTATAAGAAACCAATAAAGTAGATAAAATGTAAGCCAATACAGTAGGCCCTGTGTCCTCCCTAGCAATCAGCTTTTGTTGAGATTTATGGTATTTTCTTCATAAAAGTTTTGCTCAACATTTCCCACTTCTCAAGTTTGAGGTTGCTTTTCTTTTAGCATTTCTCTGCAGTGTGTTCTTCGTTGGAATGCTGCTCAAGTCACACTCGTTCCCTGCTGCTTTGAGTAGCTTTTTTCTTCTGAGCAAAAGCACCGCACATGTTAATGTCTTGCTTATGTTTTCTTCTTAATCTCTCTTCTGTTACAGGTTTCTGTCCAAGCTACAGACTATTTTTTTTATGTATGTGCGTGTGCATCTGTCTTGTCTGTACGTGTGTTTGCAGAGTCCCAGAAGTGTGCCATATCCCCTAGAGCCAGAGTTACATGTGTTTGAAACCTGCCCATTGTGGGTCCTGGAATCCCAACTCTGGTCCTCTGATTGAGCAGGGAGCACCCTTAACCACTGGGCTAATTCTCCAGCTACAGCCATTGGAGATGAAGAGTAAATACATCTTCCTTCTACGGGAAAAGGTAGGTTACAGTACAATGTGAAGAATGTTACGGCAAGCTTGTTGCTTTACTTCAGAACGAAATTTGAAATTACATGAATTATGTTACTGCCAAAATTCAGCTGTCAACTGCTTCTTAGCCCTGAGGCCAGTTCACAGATCCTGTACCTCATGGACCTGAAAGCCAGATACCCCTAAGGAACAACTCTGCTGTGCTTTGCCAGAATCAATACTGATGTCAGTTTCACCACAGGTTTTGTGTAACACCCTAACTTCTGAGGTAGGCTCTTATAGTTCTTTGGCTGCTCCTTTGGGAGATTGTGATCTTTCACCTCCAAAGGCTTCATTGGGGGCCAGCGGTCAGCGTTGGAGGTGGCCCATTTGTCGGCAGAGCTGGAGCTGTTGAGAGCAAAGGCCAGAGCAAAGGTCTGCTTGCCAGACCAAGGGTGGGCTACACGTGGTGTATTGTTTTCATGCCCTTCCTGCCGACTCTTTGAGAGCATTGATGTTATCCTACCCTATTCAGTAAACAAGAAAAAAAAAAATACCCAGCTCGAGGGTAGGGTGAAACAAGTAACGTTGCCAGCATATAGTAGTGGAGTGGACGGACACTGAAGAACCCTGACTGTATTTCCCCTGCCATCCTTGTGGTTAAGCATGTGAACTAAGTTCTTATCTGTGGAATTTCAGAGGAAGTGCTGCTCTGGACGGGGTGGGGGAGGTCCAGAGGCAGTGGGGGTCCGTCCTCTGCTTTTCATCCAAGCATAGGAGCAGCAGCAGTGCAGCCTTCCTGTTCCTGCGAGTTAGGCTGCTGGGTGACGTTAGGGTGAGTGTCTTTAAGCGCATCGCTGTGCAGCAGCTTGACGTGGAAGTGATTTATTGCAATTGGGTACCTCATTTTGTCGATACCACCCGAAGCTTCAGTAATGTTGGCCTGTGCTGGTCACGCCCGTCCTGTCTCCGTCGCCCTCATCTTGGGTTGCGGGGAAGGAACGGAAGGTGTAAAGGGCTCCACCAGTGCTCTGAGGTTATCGGTGCACATCCAGCTGCATGTGACGGACGTGACAGTGACCGATGTCACAGCCTAGTATGCACTGGGTTGCAACAGGCCCAGCATCCCCATAAGATGGTGTTCTAACTCTAGGTCGTTATTACTATAGTTGTAAGGATTTCCCTCCCCATTATTTAGGAAAAAAAAAAAATCTTTCTGCCACTTTTATAGAGTAGATTATACTATACTACATTGACTACGGCTTTATTATGTTGAAGATTATATTAAACTCCGAGGAGCGGCTAATCTCTAATTCACTGTGTGAACAAGGTTCAACTAACTACCCCTGCGGTTTCACTGTGTGTGAAAGTCTGTTCACATGTAATCCTTCGCCAGTGTATTTTTTTGTTCTCCGGTGCTGATGAAGCCCAGGCCTAGTAAGGACTTTGCTCCTTGCTCTTGGTGTTGGTAACGAGAAGTTACAACTTAGTCGCTGCAGCTAGTTATAGGTCAGGGCCAGGGCGAGCGTTAACCCAGTCTTCCCAGCCTGTGATCAGAAGTGTTGGAAGAAATAGAAAAGGTTCGGGTGTCATTCACAACTGGTTCAAATTGTGACCTCCAGTGTACATGGGCTGTTTGGTGTCTATGTAGCCAATATGTAATTTAAGTGTAATGGATCATATATACAGTTAATAACTTTGTAAAACCATTTGGAAAAATTAAAATCTTACTTGGCGTGACTCCCTCTCACCCCCTCCATCCCTCTGATTGCTGCCAGATTACTAGCAAAAATAATCCACCTGAAGTGGGTGCAGGGCACCATCTTCAGCTTAACACCTGCACTCAGGCCTGGGTGGGGCTCCACGCCCCACGTGCCGTACGGTGCAGCGAGCATTTCTGAAAGAGCACCACTGCAGTGTAGGCGCTCACACTCATTGCAGCTTTTCCGAAGGGACTCTTTCTAGCCTTGCCCTCTAGGGATGGACGCTGTGACGTGCTTGTGCGAAGGTTTACCTACTGGCTTCATGCCTGCCCCTTTGGTGGCTGCTTTTCATAAATACACAGTTTCTGCTCCTGAAGTCTGGGGTTCAACAGATCTGTTAGTTGTAGGAGGACTGCGGAACCAATTGCCTGAGCGTTGCCGGAGCAAAGTGGAAGATTCATACACAGAAAGGTCGTTTATCATTTATTAAGCCTTTATTAAACACCTCCCTGAAAGGCCCAGGACGACACTGGGACCTTTAGTTAGAACTGAGATGTAAATGCAAGAACAGCACAGACCAAACTACCTGCTCATTAGTTCAAATCCAACATAATTTTCCATTGAACCAGAGCATCGTGAATTTGAAGTACCCTGGCTTGATGTTCTAACTGAAAATTTTTAAAAGAAAACTGCAACTGGAAAGCCAGTTTTCAAAATTGCTTTTAAAGGCCAACAACCAGTTGGAAGGGAAGGGCAGAAGAAATAACCTCTCTTTTTACATAGTAAGTCTACACAGACTGCCACAGAAAGCTCTTTGTATGGATGGCCCTCACTTGCTGAGAGACCTCCCCCTGCCCAGGGAAGACCGCCCGGACAGCTTCTCCTTGGTTTCACCGTATGCTCCAGAGGTATGTGTGGGGTGTGTTTTTTACATTTATACAGTTTACAAAGCTTGACCCATAAATAACACTTGTGATTAACAGGGTCCCAGTAACAAGTATGTACATAGCCCCACCATGCATACAGAGCCTTTTTTTTTTTTTTTTTTTTTTTTTTAGCATTGAAGGGAAAAAAACAAAACAAAACAACTTTCCATCACTAAGCAATATAAATTGACTGTCTAAACTTATAAACCCTGACTAAAATACAAGCAGTCATCTCATCCATAAATGCTGTTTCTGATCTCCTAACAACTCTAGCACGGCAGTGTAACAAACATCTTGCAATTCAGGGATATAAAAATATCAGCTTTAAAATCTGAACTGTACAGTATATACATTAATATTTGCACCGTTAAATTAGGAATACACTTAGGTCAATGAAATACTACATATAAATAGCAAGTTCGTTCGCTCTGTAGCTGGAAGTAATACAGTATGATTACCTGGCTAATAAGGGCTGAGGGGGAACAAGTTCGCCTCACACAAACGGGACGCACAGCGTTAGCTAGGTCATCGTGGTGACAAGGCATGCCTCACAACAAGACACCAGTCATGACCTGAGCCAACCTGACTGAAGTACGGACTAACACTATTGCTTACAAAGGTAGCCATCCATCTTCTCAGACACTGTCCAGTCACCTGCCGGCGGTTTCTGGGGTGTTCTCTAGTAGGCTGGGGACCAAGGCAGCCGTGATCCACCTGCCACAGGCACAAGGCAGTGTGTTAATCTGGCACTACCCTGGAAGGGCGGCTGGGGAAACCACCCCTTTCGCGTGGTACCCTGACTGTAAACAGCAGTAGGGCTCTCATTTACATAGGCCAAGAAAGCACTTTACACTATTTTAGCGACTTTCCTATGATGAGTAAAAGGTCAAAAGTCCAGGCTGAGCGACTTAACGTTTTAAACAGGTAATCTCCCTGTCCACTTGGTTAAGAGATAATACAGTTTTTGCCCTTGTGTCCCTTTTTCTTCTTGGATTTAGTTGTCCTCTGACTAAACTGTGGGGTTGGCAGTGCAGAAGCTGGGCTAGAAAGGTCGTCTGTATAGTAGGTGAATCTCTGTGGCCTCGGCTGAGGAATTGGCTGTCCCAGAAAATACCCTTCTTCTTCCGAGTCGGAGGATGAAGTGGAGGATGAACACCAGGAGTCGTCATCACCGTAGAGCCCCAGAAACCTGTTCATTCCTGGGTTCTGCAGGGCATAATCAGACGTGGCGTGGGCATACTGGCCGTACAGGTTGGCATTCTGCATGTAGGCTTGCAGCTCCCGGGCGCCTTTATTCTGTATGAATTTCTCATAGTTATCAGGGCTGTACAGCCGAAGTCTGTCCTTGGCAGGGTACTTCCTTTCTGTGACCAGGTTCAGGGCGTTGTCGGAGCGCGACTTCCTGCTTCGCCGGTGGCGGTGGTGGTGAGGCCTGGATCCCCTCTCCTCGAAGTGATACACGCGTCTCCGAGTCCTTTCGCTCATCGGAGGCTGCCGGATTTCGATGTCATAGCTTCCGTTGTCAATGACATCGTCTGAAAACTTGACCTGCTGTGGTCTGGACTGAGACTTGGATCTCCTGAGCACCGGCAGGTGGACTGGTTTTTCTTCGGGCATGATTTTCTCAGCACATAACTCGGAGTTGAGACTTTTTAAGGACTCGGCACTCCTGTGCAGCATGGAAGAATTCAGAGTGCCCATGTTGCTCATCTTCTCACAATCCTCCGCCTCTATCTCCTCGAAGTTTTGGAGAGAGTATAAGGATGGTCGTGGCTTGCTTTCTCCATCCACCGATGCCCCTGTAACAGAACCCAGAACATGGTGTCATTCTCACAGCTGTTAAAGATGGTCCAGAAGAGCATCTCAGGGGAAGCTTTCTATTTAACTATCTTCCCCCATGTATTGTTTTCCAGCTGAGAATATGACCCTCGTCAATGCTAGACTAACACCTATTCACAACAGAAGCCTCTCCATCCATTTGTTAACAGAAGGTATGACACCTACACATTCTCACCCACGTCGCCCGTGAACCCCTTTGGTGTGGGTGGTGGTCTTCATCTTAGACAGGGGCCAGCAGCCTGCCCGGTGTGGTCACACCAGAGCAGAGGCACAGATTTGCCCATACGTTTCCTGGGGCTGCTTCTCCCAGTGGCAGAACTGAGTAGCTTGGGCAGAAACTGTATGACCTGGCTGAAAGGAACGGTCAAGCCAGCCCTGGGTCTTGTCAGTTATTCCACTGCAGTCTGTAAAATACACCGCCTCCAGACTGCTCACATTTCTCAACCAAGATCTGTTAGAATACGATTTACTCAAAGGTCTGTGGACCCAGAGACTGTCAAGACTAACTCCCTACCCATCATTCCCAAGGGCTATCAGCCTCTAGCATTTTTAGATTTTAGTTTTCAGCATTGGGGGTTAAACCAAGGGCCTTATTCATCCAAAGTGCCTGCTGTCCTGAGCTTCAGCTTTGACACTTCAGCTTCCACCTAATTGTAGGGGGTCTGGCAGACAGTCTCACCCACCACGCTTCCTAGACTCTCCGTTATGACAGAACTCATGTCTGACAGGCCAGGAGCAGAGATGGAACAGTATCTCAGCCGTCTACACAAATCACTCTTGCAGGAGACAGTATATGGCCCTCTCCTGGCTGTATTATAGCCATACAACACACTGCTTTTTACACCAACCTAATCTGGGTTAAACAGCCTTATCTGCTGTTAAACTCCCATTTAAAATATGCTTTCTACAGATCAGGGTCATTTTAACATAAAGTATGGGTAATTAATAGGAATTTGCCTTGAAAACACTATAGCACAATTTACTTTTTGCTGTCTATCATCTATGTATCTATCTATGTATCTATCTATCTATCTATCTATCTAGCCATCTATCTCTCTGTTTAACTGGTTTCTTTAAGACAGTGTTTCTCTGTAGACTTGTCTGTCCTGGAACTCACTTTATAGACCAGGCTGGCCTTGAACTCACAGAGATTTTCCTGCTTTTGCCTCCAAGTGCTGGAGTTAAATGTGTGCACCACCACCACCTGGCTTAAAGTGCAATATAATGAGAAAAAAATGTTTAGGTTTTTGTTTGTTTCTTTGTTTGCTATCTCTTGCCACAGAACAATCTTGACATTTTTTTCCCCCAGACTTAAAAATCTTATGCTCAGGCTAATTTTAATATTTTAAAATTCATACAGTATAATCTAAATACAGAATCTCTAATAATCCAGACACAGACTCCCTTATCCAAATCTGTTTTCTCCTGTCACAAAGACTATGTTCAGAATGTTATACGTATGTGCTCAACTACACAGATACATCCATTTTCCTAACCTGTGGCACGTAAGTGAACCGCCTTTCTTAGTCCAGAGTTTCAAATAATCCGCCCTCTACTGGCACTCAGCTGTATGAATCACCCTTTATAGTGCCTGCTTTTCCAAACATCCACAACCCCTGGACGACATACCTGTGATGTTGGACAACGCCAAAGAATCCATAGAATCCCGGACACTCTGCTCTGGTTTCAGGTCAGACAGGCACTCCAGGGAGTCTTCATACCACTGGCTTTGGTCCTGATGATAGGCTGCGGCGCCGTGGTCCAGATCCAGCTCCTGCAGCCTGCGGCTGCTGGCAGGGCCCGGATGGCTGCCATAGGCAGAGTCGCCCAGCCCGTCTTGGGACTGCGCCCAATACATGTCAGACTGATACTTCTTACTGGCGAGGCTCTGGTGGTTCGGCTTTACCTGGGGCTTACCTGTAACCATGTTGTCAGGTAGCCAGTGCTCACTGGCTCTGACGTCCGCCTCGCCGGACTGCTGCGGAAAGAGGTTTTTGTCGCCGAACTTGAGCAGGAGCTGCGTCATGTAATCTTCGTGCTCAGCCCATTCTTCGGGGTCTTCAGAGGCCTCTTGATCCGCTCTGGCTTTCCAGAATTCCTCATTAGCGAAACCTGCTCCCTGCCTGGAGAGACTCAGGTCATCCAGCTTCCGAGAAAGGGTGTCGTCAGCATTGCCAGAAAGCCCGGGGAACTTGTAGTTGAGAGCGGGCGACAAGAGGAGAGACTGTCTGCACTGGTCCGCGGAGCGGCTGCTTCTGCCCATGCGCACGCTTCGGCGAGAGTCTCTCGAGCGGGCCGACTGGAAGGCAGAGTCAGAAGAATCGGAGGCGTGGATGTCTTCACCCAGGCTGCAGGTCTTGGAGCAGTAGATCTGACCCTGTTTCGGAAGGAAGGGGCATCCCAGCAGAGACGCCTTACACTGAGCACAGGAGAAGCAGGCCTCTGTGGCGTGCCAGTGCTGCCCATCGTAGGTCATCTGCGCATGGTCCACACCTGTGTTTAAAGAGGATGGGCGAACAGTTAGGTGCTGGGGAGAGATGTGGGCAGGGCTGAGCTGCGGGGGATAGAAATGTTCCTGGCTTTGTTTTGTTGTGAGGCAAGGCCTCACTATGTGGTCCAGGCCAGCCGTGAACCCAGGCTGGCTCTGAGTTCCTGCTCCTCCTGCCCCTGTCTCTGGGTGCTGGGGCTGCAGGTGTACATACACCACACAGTTGGCTCCGTGTTTGCCTTGATCTTTCCACATGCGCCTCACACACGCTCGGCTGACCTTCCTTGTTTGTAGATGACGTGTTTTCCAATTTACCCATTCGTAACAGGGTCATGGGCAGACCTGCAGAAGGATCACGACTTGAACTGGCCAACGTGCTCCTCACTGAGGCTACACAAAGGGACCCTCCGGCTCCACCTCCCGTACTAGAATCAAGCTTCCTGCACTTGATGTGTTTAGCACCGTGACTTCCGTGTTTCTGTGCTTTTCCTGCTGGTACCTCTGCAGTTGAAGCACTGTCTAGTGCGTCGACGCACACGCGGATGCAAGTATTACATAAGCTCTGATCATGGCGACTGTGCTGCTGGCTAAGACCTCATCGCTGGCTGCCAGTATATTTTCAATGAGAGGCTTTAACACCAGGCACACAGGTGTGTTAACAGACCGACAAAAATGGCTTTCTTAGTATATGCAAGGCCTCGGGTTTTGTTCCCAGTACTATGAAACCAAACCAAACAGAACCCCAGAGGCTCGTGGGACTTTAACTGTGCACGTCCCCAGAGTCACAGCTCAGCGTTCACTGACTCCGTGCTTGCTGTGAATAATCAGAACCCAGCATTCATCTGACAGTCGCTGGGGTGCCGTGTGCTGGCTGCGGCATGCGTCGATTCTACCTACCTCAGTCTTCACAAACGTTAACAAAGGAGCCAGGCTGTGCCGGCGACAGGGCAGACAGGGGCGTGGGTGGGGTCGGCACCTACCGATGTGTTCCCCGCAGGTCTCGCAGTACTCGGCATACAGGGACTCAAAGCAGCCGCAGCAGAAGGGCCGACCGTCCTTCATGATGTATCTCTGCCCTCCCAGGACCGTTTCGCACTCGAGGCAGCAGAAGTGTTTCATGTGCCAGTGGCGCCCCTCGGCTTCTGTGCACTCGTCAGCAAAAATTATCTTTAGAAAGAAACACAGAGCCTCAGGAGGAAGATCAGCACACGCTGTCTCAAGAGACACGCTCCTGTCTCTCAAACCAGAGCTGAAAGGCCCTGATGCAGGCCTCAGGGGTTCATTTTGTGGTGACGTTCTTGTTGCAGGGGGCCCCTGTGATGGCTGTAGCCCTCTAGGTCACCCGGCAAGAGAAAGAGGTGAGGGGTGTGTGTGAGGAGCTATAAAGTGGCTGTGTCCTGGTAGTGGCACAAGTCACATACCACATCTTGGCCCAACTGCAAGGTACTGGCATCTTGAGCAAGTACCAGCTGTTCGGACAAGACCCAGGAGTGAGGCGAGGAGAAGGAAATGGGAGAAAAATCTCACCAAGGAGGAAATGGCATGTGATGGAGCAGGACACATGGACAGGGCACCCATACGTGGAAGCAAATTCCCAGTAGAAAAGCTCTTGCTCCCGGGACTTGGCAACAAGAGACCAGTGGAGTTGGCCGGACAATGCTGAGTGACAGTATGCAGGATGTGAGGGGCCCAGGTGTCTAGAAGTCAGAACAGCGTCAATAGAAACAAAGCATGGTACTGCCCAGGGGAAACCCAGACCCAAGCTGTCCTTGTGCTTTCATTTGCTTTTCAAGCCTTAAATATCAAGCTCTGGACTTTCACAAAGAAACGTGGAAAAAAGTACACGATAGCCTCGAGTTGAAGGGGGTCTTTGATTTGGAAGGTAACTATAATTGTTCTAATTTTCTATCCTTCTGCTCAGTTAATCCTGATCGGGTCATTGGAGACCTTGAAGAAATAATACTTTCCTACTTGTTTGATTTGCGCTGGTCTGAAGAGCATAGTACTTTATTTGGTTTCTCAAGACAGGGTTTCTTTGTAGCCCTGGCCTGTCCTGTCACTTTCTAGACCTGGCTAGCCTGGAACTCAGAGATCTGACTGCCTCTGCCTCCTGAGTACTGGGATTAAAGCCTTGTGCCAGCACCGCCTGATGAGCATAGTGCTTCGTAACCATAGAAAATCTGACCCACTGACTTTAGTTATAACTTTAGTTATATTGTGTTTATATTCTTGGCGTTCATCATACATGTAAGAAAGAAACGGTCAACTCTACTATGAAATGTATCTGTATAGAGAGCTACAGACTTGGTACTGGCTTCTTTCAATGCTTTCATTTCACTGACAAAGATCAGTCTACAAGAATATGAACTGACAGTGTTGCAAAGGGGAAACTAAATAAATCGGCTTAAACATGAAAGAACATTTCTTCCTTGGAGGTAGAATTCATTTGTCACACTTTCATTCCCAAGGATCATTTCGGTAGCATGATCTGGCAGAGCACACGCTGGCGGTAACGTAACTTTCGGTCGGTGTTTTAACTGAAGTAAGGTGTCTGTGGAGTGGACAGAGAGCCACAGTGATGCTGGGGCGGTGTAAACAGTTGTGTAGGAAATGCTTCATCTGACCCTGCGGGGGCCACCTGCACGTTAAGGACTGTAAGATTGTCCTATTCCATTGAAGAGATATGTGTGTAGGTATATAAACTGAGAACTTTCTGCCCCAGACTGAAGAAGAGACGCCAGGAGCAACACTGGATTGCCCCATGGAATACTAAAGGGACCCTAGAAGGTGACCTGGGAAGTTAAAGCAGGAAGATCATTCCTGCTCTCCAGGTTCAGGGTCATTCATTCTCTACATGAGTTTGAGGCCAACCTGGGCTACACGAGACTCCTGGCTCTTTTAAAGGTGAGGCTCATATGTTCTCAACTTTTAAAGTTACTTTAAGCCTTACTTAATCTTTGAACCTTCTTGTAACTTACATAAGCTATCAGAGGAGCGCTTATGTCCCTGGAGCACTGTGACTCTGCCAGGCACAAAGCTATCTATGTGTGTAGCCGGCCACCGCGTCAACCCTGTCCCACATCTTAGGAATCGCGTAATGCCCTGTTTCTATATGACTCTGCCTGAAGTAAACTCACTGCTGGCTCCAAAACAGGGAAATGAAATCTCAGTAAAGCCCATAGCTATAGGCACTGCTTGGTAGTTCCCACTGGTAGTTCCTGTTCTTGCTCTCCACCATTAGGGAAGATGCTAGCGCCAGGGAGCTGGGAGAAAGGTGTATAAGGGGCTCTGTCCAGTATCTCGTGGACGTTTTCATAACTTAAAGTTACTTTAACATAAAAAGCTCGGTGGGCATCGTGGTTTGGATCTACTATCCTGACAACACTCTGAAGGCGGAGGCAGGAGGATAGGGAATTCAGTAGCTCATTTCAGCTACATAGTAAGTTGGAGACCTGCCTACACTCATTGGGACTATTTCAGAAATACCAAGAACTTTATTGAAAAAGATAATAATAACGTAAGAGACAGCAGCAATTCATTTTACACCGTCATCCATCTGCTGCTACACCCTGTACTGACCTGGTCCATCCATATCTTTGCTGACCATATGACAGGTCCACTTCACTGAGCTCTTTCTTTCCTAAATTTTCAAAAAGGATCATTTTTTAAAAGACCATATTCTGCATGTTCTTCTGCAGTGTTTTTTTCCCCCTACAGTTGATCAGACACAACATGGACAAGCAGAGGCACCGGCTGCCCTCTATTTATCGGCTACATAGAATTCCAGTTATCTTCAAAATACCCATACAGAACAAAAGCAGGAGACTCGCATACTTTACCTAGTTGGGAACAGTGGAATATTGGCTATTGACTTATTTTTCCATCATTAAGGGATGAACTTTTTTTTTTTTTTTTTTTACCTCATCACAGGCCGAGCACCGAGGTTTGAGCAGCTCTGCATGGTGCCTGCCACAGTGAATTTTTCCATCCTGATAGAAGTAGATGAGGTCGACCAGTAGCTCATGACATGTGAAACAGACAAAGCAGGATGGGTGCCAGCAGACTCCAGGGCCCGCGCGGGAGGCAAACACTGCCACCTCGCCTCCGTTCATCTGCAACCCACACTAAAAACAAAGACTTGAAGTTAAAATGGCCCTTCATCTTCAGCTTTTCCCACTTTAAAATAAGCCACAAGTTTGTTAGGATGGCTTTAATTTCTGTCTGCTCCTGCTGGCGATTAAACGCCAACCTTTGAGCGCCTTACTGAGCCACTCTTCCCGGCTCTGTCCAGTATGTCTGAGCTGATCCCCATTTTAGAGGCTTCCCACTGGGGTGTGTTTCCTACTGAGAAGCACTAGTGAGGGGTCACTGTATCTCCATGTTTTACATATAGGCTTTCCCCCCTGCAAGGCAGTTTCATTCAGAAAGACTGACTCCTATTGTCACAGGAATCACAGCAGTGCAGACGTAAGAGAACGACTCTCAAGGAGTTCTTGTAGGGGGTGCGCGTCTATGCCAGCCCCCTGGGTCACCTGCAGCCCCCCCCCCCCCCCCCCCCCCCCCCCAGCGCTCCTACCTGCTCACACAGCGCATGCATCACGGCTCTGGACAAGAGCTTAATGGTCCCTCTCCCGAGAGCTTCTTTCTTCCTTTGAGCACTGAACACCTGCAACTCCTTTTTCTCCTCTTCACTTAAAGACTGGCAGTACCGCACCTTCACGGGAAAGAGGACCGAAGTGCATGCTGGGGGACCGTCATTACTGGTCTTCATTTCCAGAGTTTCGGGAAGTAAAATACTAAAACTCGCAGCCCTGCCCCAAACCCTCAGTTATAATATGGCATGGCTGCTCATGGTGACACCCAGCTCGCATGACCCAGAGACCTGTAGATCTTTAGGAGTTCGAAGCCAGCCTGGTCTATATACCCAGATCCAGACCCTGTCTCAAATAAATAAATAAATAAATAAACAAACAAATAAATAAATAAATACAGTAACATGGACCTCAAGGTCTGTAAACAGGACAAACCATCTGATGGAGATGGGTGTGGCTTACTATTTTGCAAAAGAGATACCACCTTCCTGAGAAGGTTGAAACTGGGTAACTGCCACTTTCTCTCTGTTCTGCAGGCACTCAGGCCGTCAATCCAGAAGGACCTGGAAGTGCCTACCCTGCACGTGCAAAGCAAAAGGTCCTGATAATTGGTGGGTGGCTGAAAACTATCAGAAATAACCTTTGTAAGGGGGAGCTTCCTGCTTCGGAGCTCTCTTAAAATAAGGAAAAGCTGTAGTCTTGGGGTGCGTCTTAAGAAGGGCCAACGAGAGGCCTACCCAGTGAAGAGATTTCGAAAAGGTCCCTTGACGCTTCCTGTTTATTTTCTTTTCACTAATGAGCTTTCCTCCTGTTACTCTACCTCGTTATCATGCGGCGGCAACTGGTACAGAAGCTGCTTGATCCGGTGCTTCTCTCCGGGGCTGTTGACATAAGGGACCTTCTCCTCTGGCAAGCACGCGAAGTACAGCTGGATCTGTGGGAGCAGCGCGAGGTGGCGTCAGCGCATGGAGGGAAGGTCTGGGCTGCCCGGCTTTACCTTTCTCTCCTTGCAGGATTTGGCCTCCTGCAGCTAATGAGGGGACCAGCTGAGCCGACTCAGCAGCCGTGCAAACCCAAACCTGCGTCTGCTAGCATCCTCTCGCATCCAGCTGCTAAATTGCTCCTCAGGAATGCAATTTGTAGTGACAATTAAGGGCATCATAAATTATGTGCTATCAAATGTGCGCATTTATGGTTACTGTTCCCCAGTCTTGCAGAGGTCAGCTGAGGGATCAAGGGGGAGTGCTGGGTGAATTCTGCAGACGGGCCACACAGGCTGTGTGACAAGAGCCAAGGCCCAGCCTCTAGACACGGTTCTCTCCAGCATGAGCTTTACAGGTTCCCGTGGGTGGTATGTACAATAGCCAGCTCCGGTTCCCCCAGGAAGCAGGCAAAGGGAGCTGCTGAGCTGGTCTTAGCTCGATTTGAAAAGGGGACTTAACCTCATTTTCATGTTTCTGTTGTCTTTTAGGAACATCCCTTGATGGACGCCGCAAAGGACACTGCAATGCTGAGATGGAATCAGTGGCACTCGAGGGAAAGATTAGGGACGCGGGGACTCGCCTGCTAGCGGCAGTTCTGCAGACCCAGACCCACCCGGAGATGTAAGGGAGTCTCTCCGCAAAACCGTTTGTCAAAATTCCACCTCCAAGTGCAACAACCAGCATCCCGTGCTGGTCTAGAAGCTTTCCAGTTACCTGACTCTCACTAGCCACTTAGGGTCTTGACTGTATAAGGATACCTTATCTCAAAGGGGTTCCCTCTCCCCTTCCAAGAAAGGTAATCCACAACCAGACATGGGGCTGGCATCTTTTGTTTTGAAGGATAACTTTGCCTGTGCAAGGTCTACCAAGAATTTTCAGTAGCTTCATCACGAGGAGGTTGGAAAATAAAACAGGCATACAGATCATTTCTACCCTTCCAACGGCGGTAACAAAGAAAGTGCCGCAGTGACGCTTTTCTGATCCCCACTTAGGCCACAGTTACTGGCAGCGCCCTCCTCCATAGAGAAGCAGAATGGAGAACTGTGCTGGGACAGTTCTTTCATTTCCTTTTCTTCTTTCCGAAGCTTTGAAACGGGTAATAGTGGCACACGCCTTTACTTTCAGCACTTGGGAGGCAGAGGAGGGAGGATCTCTGAGTTCTCTTGAGTTGGAGGCAAGCTGGGACTACTTAGTGAGTCCTCATTTTAAAAGACAAACAACACCCTCCCCCAAAACCCCAGTATTGGGGGAAAAAAAATCCAAATCAGGTAAGTTTCTCTTCCTCCCAAGTTCGAACAGAAACACCCATGGTGCCCTGCATTTTATTACTCAGGGCTTTGCTGTGGGGCAATGGGATCCATGAGTGCCAAGACGGAAGCTTCCACTGAGAAACCAAACCAGACCTTAGAAAGCAAAGGCAGCCAGGGAGGAGGGGAAGAGAGCGGAAGTCCCTGGAAAGCAAATCAGAGAAGCCAGTTCCTACCTGCTCTGGCCTCAAGCCTGGTGGCACCCAGGCATACTCTTCCAGCGCACAGCCGGAGTCATCATCTGATGTGGAACTCCTCTGGCACCCGAAGGCCAGTTTGCTCATTTTGGGCTCCATCTCCAAAGGCATAATAAGAATGAAGTTTCAAAACCTGGCTCCTCAGTCACAGGACATCCAATGGCGGTTGCTGTGGGTGACAGAGGAGAAACAAATGTTGAAGAGGAAAATGCTTCTCTACCAAGAGTCACTACCTGCAAGCCCAGTGCCACTCAAACAATTAGGGAGTGACATCCCGTCTTACCCAGCTCAGTACCAGAGAAAAAGGCCACCAAGATAGTGTTGTCGGTTGCCTTTAGAGGATGCTTCCTGCTCATGATTTACTTGGCAAGGAAAGTGCTCTGCTGGCTAATTTACCTACAAATGAAATTCCGTGAGGTCTTAAGGGTTTAGAAAGAAGTGTTGGGAACCAGTCTCTCTGCCTCTTACCCACCATAAGCTACCCAGAAAGATGGTGGCAGAGACCCTGCCCCATCCTCCACATTTCCTAAGACAGGCCAGTGTAGGCTGCTAAGAATGGATCCCCTAAGCCACAACCGCAGTGTAGACTTTAATCCCTAGCACCAAACCTGACTTTCACACAGACTAGTCAACCAACAGTAAAGGAGTACAGAAGCCAGCAGGCCCCCATGTCACAATAAAGTCCAGCCTGGTGACTTGATGTTTAATCTCACCTATCAACCAACATTTAGGAATGCTTATTGGGTGTGAAATGGAACCAATCCACTATTGTTCAAAGTGAGGTGTTAAACCTCAGAAAAAGGACACTAACTGTGTCAAGATGCTGCTCCTGACCCCAGCTTTGTTAGCTCTGTCTATTCCCTCTGTCTTCTAGTTCTTAAAAATCACCCCTCACACATAAGGCACTAAGAAAGAAAACGAGAACCTCCAAGACTCCAATATAAAGAAAATTGTGATTAGTCCAGTGTCCAGTTGCTTTGGAGAAAGAAGGACTCAAGGACAGCAGATGACTTGTATAAAGGTCAAGGCCTAATCCTTCTGATTTAGCAAATGCCCTCACTGGCTCACACTTATGGGAGAGGGTGAAATCTTAACCAGTCCCAGCCCGAGGTGATGTGGTCCAGTAGTTCTCAATGCATCACTAAAGAGCTAAGTCTTGTTGGGTGGGGTGTGGGGGTGGCTATCAAAATTTAGTTTAGGTTTTTTTTTTTTTTTTTTTAAATAGAAATCCAAGGACATTTTACACTTCACGCTTTGAACAGCTCACAAAGGGCTAGGGTTAAAAGAGCACCTGCCTTGTGGCTTCTGTTGTTCCCGAAGGAGAAAACGTGACTCAGCAGATACTGTCACCCTGCTAGTGAACTGGGCTTTCATCCACCCCGGCAGAAGGGAAGGCGGCCTCATTTCCGACGCCTAGGGAGGCTGTCACCTTCTGACCCAGTCATTTCACACAGGTGCAGACCATTCTCGGCTTAGGAAAGGCTCTCCAAACAGAGGTGCATTCCTCTACCCCCTCAATAAAAGGGGACGTGTAAATGAAAGTCAGAAAACAGACTTGGGTCTTTCCCTTTTGCCCTGAAAGACCCGCCCCCAAGTGTCAAAAGAAGAGGATAGAGATTAAGACTTTAATTAGTAACTCACTGACTCTCACCAGGAGAACTGGTACTTTCAATGCAATTTAACCTGAATTTTGACATGGGAGCATTGGTCTGGTTGCCAAACCTGGCTGGGGGCTGGGTAGGATGAAAATAATAGAATATAAATATTAAAAAGAACCTAAAAACTAAATGTTATTCTTATTTTAAAAGGAGAAAAATAAAACAAGATACTGCAAGTTATAACAAAACCATGGTTTTTTTCCCCCCTAAGCTTTACTCAACGATGCCAAAGATCTGAGTCTCTGTTTAGAGCTGTGCTCTCTGGAAACGTGGGGTGCATTGTTCTCCTGATGGAGGTGAATGGTGTGAAATGGGACCAACCCCCTCCACTGGTTGTTTGGACATACTGGCCTCAGTTTAAGCCTCAGACTCTCACAGGTTCATTCCAGCCTCTTGGACTTATTTCTTGACAACATGAAGGGTACCAAAATTTTAGGCAAACAAGAGAATCATTTTCATACCAACGGCAGTTTCCGGTTTTACTGGCAGTGTGGCCAGCTTGCTTGCCACTATTAGCGTTACAATATTTAAATGCTACACAAAGAAAGAAGTGTAAACTGGGAGTTGTCTCAGTCCTCACATACTGAGCCTCAGGGCCAGCTGTCCAGAGCATGGAGTTTAGGAGCCTTGGAGCCAGACCCATCTGGAGGTTGGCAGAGCTAGAATACTTTTCCAGGGGTTATCCTGGGAGTATTCCGTGCAACCCAAGCCATACAAGTGCGAACATTTCCACTTCCCTCCTTTGTCTTTTCCCACTCCCTTCTTGAAAACTAGCTAGCTACTTTCACCGTTTAAGAAGATGGAGGACTTCTCAATCATCATATAATTGTCAAGAGAAGATCTGATGCTTTCTTCTGGCTTCCTTGGGAGCCAGGTGAAGGCGCAGTGTACAGACGCACATGCAGGCAAAACACACATACGCATACAATTTTACAAGACAAAATTAAAAAAGTGGCAAGCGACATTTTGTCGGGAGCCAGGACTTTGAGTGAAGGTAGCCCGTGCGACGGGAATGCTTCCAAGCTCCCTTGCTTCCTTAGTGACAGCTTGTGTGTAAATTACAGGACTGAGCCTGTGGCTGGTGACTTGTTTTCATTTTGAGCCCAGTGCAAACTGCACACACTTCTTATATGGAGAGACAGCAGACAGAATTCATCTGGGTGACCTAGACACCCGCCATTCACCTGGAATGAGGGGACACTGGGGTTATCCCCAGCACAAGGAGCAAGAGTCCAGGGTTCTAGTCTTTGACCTTTGATGTTCTAAGGCCTGTCAAGCTTTCTGGGGTGTCTTCCTCAAGCTGTCATGTTTGTTTGTTTGTTTTTCTTTTTTGTTGTTTTCAAGACAGGGTCTTGTAGCTCAGGCTGTCCTGGAATTCGCTATGTGGCCTCAACTCAAACTCACAGAGATCCACCTGCCTCTGCCCCTGCCCTGCCTTCTAAGAGTTGGGGCCAAAGTTATGCACCACTGTGCCTGGCTCGCCACTACCATGTTTTGATTCCCACCGTGCCTGCCTGTTATTAAGTAGCTTTACCTTTCTGCCCCACAACCAACAACTCTGAAAGCTTTACAAATCTATCTTCAGTATTTTGTGAAAGTATGAACTGCTTGCATTATAGCAAAGGCCTGTGTCCCTCTGTCAGCACAGGAGTTGCTGAGGCTTTCAGGACATGAAGGTGTCAGTCAGCCTAGACAGCCCCTTTACTCTCCCCCCTCCCCCTTCTAGTTTGGTCATTTGCCATCACTTTATTTTCTTTTCCACATAGGATGGCTAAGGGTTAGTGTTCTGACTGACCCTGAGTTGTGAAAATCAGCCCTGGCTTTTGTTTTTTCTGGATCAGTGGCTCTCAATCCTCTTGACGCTGTGACCCTTTAATACAGTTCCTCATGTTGTGGGGACCCCCAACCGCAAAATTATTTTGTTCCTACTTCATAACTGTCATTTTGCTACTGTTATGAATTATAACGCAAATATCTGATGTGCAGGATGTCTAATATACGACCAACACCTGTGGGGGTCGTAAGCCACAGGTTTGAGAACTGCTGCTCTAGAGCGTTTTCTAAGGCAGCAGCAGTATAGCAAGTTCAGAGGCAGCAGTGAAAAAGATGGCTTTCCTAGGAGACAGATTCTCCCAAAGAATGGTACCTCATCAGACTGCCAAAAACCATACCTGGCAGGCAGGGTACTTTAACCTTGACACCATAGGCAACGGAGAAGAACAAACGATGCCACGGGTTATTTCTGGGTTTCTAAGAAGAGCGACATTGAAAATTATGGCCAGGAAAGAGGAAAAAAAGCCTGGGAGGGACACCTATTTCCTAAGGAAGCCGACCCAGCATGTCTTGGGAGAGGAAAGCAAAACAAGCTAGCAGGAAAGAGGGAAGTGAGTTGAAGCTAGAGTTTTGAGATGCTATAGTTGAAAGAAGGGAGGGCAACTTAGAAGGGGAGTCAGGAGCCTCGGGAGTTTCTAATTGTGCTGCGGTTTTTATTAGTCATCATTTTCTTGGACCAACTCACCAAATCACCTCAAAAATCATGCAAATATAAAATAACTGCCGGGGGGACTGGAGAGACAGCTCAGCAGTTAAGAGCACTGAGCAGACCCAGGTTCAATTCCCAGCACCCCCTATGGCAGCTCACAACTGCCTGTAACTCCTGTTCCAAGAGATCCCTGGCATCAGGTAGACACGCACATGCGTGTGCGTGCAGGCAAAATGCCCATACATATTAAATCAATCCTTATAACGACTGTCCATGTTTTCATGACTGTGAAGTCCAGGATTATATTCCTAATTGTCAGTATCTCCCAATAAAGTTCCAGCTAGCTGCTAAGGGAAGGTTGCCATGGTAGTGCAGGGTCCTTAAGAGACTCTGATTACCTGAACAGACACTGATCTGCTGAGTCATCGGGCTGAACTCCCCTAGTCGTCTCCCTGCTGCTCGGTGCCACACACGTGAACAGCGTCTCTTTGTTCATCTGCTTGTTAACGAGACCTCAGTGCACCCAGGAAGTCCCCCCACGAGCCTTACTCAGAACTACTCTAATCCTTCCAGGCTAAATGTACAGGTCAACTAAGGGTAACCAAGAGCAAACATGGCAGAGCACAGGTCCTGCGCACTCTGTCCTCAAAACACCAATTAGAACACAGCTTTATGGAAATACACATTTCCTTGCCTGTGATGTCCTTAACTTAAAGTGAACCCAGAGTAAGCAAAAGCGTTGGAATCAAGATTTGAATTTCTCAGCCACACACACAATGTCATAATTTCTTTAAAGTTTTCACACACCTCAAGAACACTCTATGCCTGCTGCCTGCTTGAGACAAAAGCCGCTGCTAACACAGCCCAGGTCAGCTTCATTTGTGCTGGAACGCTACCCTCAACAGAGCTCTGAGAAGGCTGCTAATGCCACTTCCCTTTTGAAAGTACTTCACAGCAGCAATCGATGGCATTTGGGCATTTGCCACTGGGTATTTTCCAGGTAAACGTCCGTCCCATTTGCCCGTTTTC